CTGCTGAAGCCTAGTTTGTGGTATGTCCTCATATTGCATAATAAAAAGACGCATTATTGCAGGCAAATGCCCTGCAAGCAAACAGTAATAACGGCAGAGATTTTTAACTGCATTAACAATAGGTGTTATCAGTGGAATTCAGCAACTATTAAACTGTTCAAGCTGTTACACTGTGTGCTGACCTGAATACATTTCTTTCTGAGCCATTAAAGTTCTGCTATAGAAACACTGACTTTCAAGTTCCCCACTTTACCATAATTTTTATTTGACTTGCTCTGTATGAAACTAGAAAAGATATCTTTATATAGCAGCCTTTAAAACCCATTCAAAGCAAATACTATCTAGCATTTGTGTTGAACATTTTCAGTTGAGGAATATTATCAAGTCCACAGCTGAATGAATCTTGCAAAGAAGTGATTGTAATTGTTTGGATTCATGACACATATTCGGTTAAACTATTCTGCTGTTTCTTCTTATTTGTTTCCCACTCATATTAACATTTTCGGTTTGCAGCAACATTGGCAGAAGTAAAAAATCTTGGAAATTCCCATAGGAACGGGTGTGTCCAAGAAGATCAGTAGCAGGCACATTTCCGTGGCCGTGGTGAAATCTGCTTGAATTTTCTGCCACTGCATATGGGTGTTTTAGACATCTGATCTAGCAGTGGTATTTTTGCCATATGACATAAGTAGTGTTTCTAATTCTCATGGTATTTGATATTTTTTCTCAATTACTAAAATCTGAAGACATGTGATACAGCAGCGTCACAGCTTCAGAGTGGATAATTCCCAGTCCTGGTGTTCCTGGTGTATCTAAAAATGCGCCCCTGAAGGTACAAAAGTCCAAAGGCCAGTTAAAAACTCCCAACATATTTATTTTAAAATCACAGCTTAGGCTGACCTCCCAATTTTTGCTTGACCTACGAATATTTGACTGCTTGAGGTTGACAATATGGCCTAAGCAACCAGTTTCTCACCACAGGGATTGAAGAGAGAGTAGCTGGAGGCACAAACTAAGCTGGTAATAGTTTGGAAACAAACCATGATTTGAGCTACAGTTGCATAAAGTGTATCGCATATAGCAGCTGGGGAGCTCTGGGAAGCATTTCTTCCTCCCTAATGAGGAATATCTCCCAGGGTTTCCCCAGGGGCAACGTGACTCTGGGAGCCCTTGAAGAAGAGCGGGGAGAGCAGGGGACAGTAGCACTGACTACTTCTTGTCCTGTGTGTTTTGAACTTGGTCAGTGTCTGGAGCAGTTCTTAGTTCTCCGTGCTAGTAACAACAGCAACAACAGCAATTACTCCTCTAGCGGTTACTGGAGAATGAAAGACGTTTTGGCTCAGGGATCATTGTGTCATTTCTAAATATGTTTGTATTTATGTTATTATTTTGATTAATGAATGGCAAATGGTGGTGGACATGCCAACCATAGAAGTTACTAACATCATTAATAATTTATAAAGCAATAGTAATTTTGCATTCAAAATAGTTTATTGTGTCAATATGTCATGTTATGTTTCTTCTACTGTTACGTTCAGCCTCTGTTTCCCTTTACCTCAGTGTTTATTACAACCTGTGGACTGCCCTAAGTAAAGCTCTGAACTTGCAAGCATGTGCAGACTTTATTCTCCTGTCACAAGCCACCCTCCTCCATGTAACTAGACTATTACTGTAGTCGAGAACATGCATAAATGTTTACGTAAGTATTTGCTGATTAGTGTGTTAGATTTGCCTTGAGAAAGGACCAATGCTAACTCTACATTTACTAGGTGACCAGTACAATCATATCCGATTTCTGATTCTGTGTACTAACTACACATGTGCAAGGTTGAATTAATAGTGGTACACTAACGGTAAAATATTTACCCATCCACTAGGTAGATAGGTATTTTGAAGTATGACTTTTTATTAACTTTAAGATAGGTTTTGTGTAATTGTGATATATCACTTTAGCTTGATGCGTGTGTGAACACTATTAAGCATTAGCATACATCAGATAAATAGACTGAAAAATTGGCCATTGAAACAAGAGGCCTAGACCCTTCCCAGGGACTTCAGATAGGACTAATTCACTGTGATTAAGCAATCACAGAAGGAAATGTGCCCAGAATGGCTGCTCTGGAGAAGCTATGCTGAATATTTACTCAAAATCATCATATTTGGATGCTTTAAAGAAATTGCCTAGTGTTGTTGAATTTAGATAAATGCTTATAGGAAGAAGTGAGCTACTGCTGTGCTTATTTCATGCTTATAATTAAATTTCAATTTAAAAGATTTTTTTAGTGGAAAGGCTTCTGGAAAAGTTGATGTTTGTGAAATTGTTTAGAAATTTGACTGGAAAATGACCCTTTTCATTTCAAAATTAGTAAGCTTGGTGAAACTCGATCATCTCTTTCTGAATCTGCAAAATAACACATATTGGGCTTATTTCTTACTTATGCTAATTCTACTTTACACACTGAGAGTATGCAGATCTTCTCTGTGTGTTACACTTACATTAATGGCCCTTTGCCAGAATATTGGTGAGAGGTCTTTGCATGAGTGAGAATCAAAGGCTACAAGATCAATTTCCATTATTCACTGTGGCTCTTTTGAAAGTAACATGGTCTTCACATCTTCATCTTGTGATCTGATAGAGCTGAAAATGACCTCTGGTGTTAAAATGGAGGAAATGATGTGGTGATACTGCTTTTTGTGTAGTCCCGATTATGTTGCCTTCTGCTTCAGCTTTTTAACGCCAATAGTATGTTTGAGGCATGTATTTCTATCATTTGATTTTCTTTCCTACAGGCTCCTTAGCATGGGAAAGCACAAACCTACATCAGAAAAGGCTATGCCTTTTCGTCTTACATCGTCACAGGTAAAGACAAGGTTTCAAGAGCCAGGAGCCTCCCCTCAAGTCTAGCGTGAGCAGTGAGTAAGGCAGCTTATGGTGAATATCATGTTCTTATAATGTGACTGAGCTTAAGTCTGATTATTCATGCACCTCTTCCTCTAGGTTCAAATAGGATGTTCTGGTTTTCATCACAATTTCTCTTTCGTGGTAGATGTACAAGATGTTCTCTGCCTCTTTTCTAACGTTCACCATTTACGCTGTTGATTGCTCACCTCTGGCATATTCTCCATGAGCTCCAGTTCACGAGCTCCTTATCTTTCTCTCTTCTTTCCACTGAAACTGGTGACACCCACAGGGGAAGACCATTACTGTCGAGAAGTCTGAGAAAGACACGTATTTGCTTGTTGTATTTAGGCTAGCTAACAGAGGAAATGAATTATGGTTGTTCTTTGATGTCTTACCTTCTTTACGGCTCTGAGGTAAAAAAGTTACTCCTTCTGCTACTTGAAGAACCTAATACACATGAGACATCTTGAAAGAGGAACCTTCCCTGCACATATGTTTCCCCCTCTTTTAAGTGCATATCATGTATCCTGTAGCTTTGCTGTAGCATAGGTAGGTTGGCAGAACAATGCAGTATTCTGCCAACAGAAGTTTTCTGTCAGCTTACTTATAGTACATCTCCAAGATATACAAATAAACTGGCCAAAAAACCTTTTCTGCGTATGGGCTTCTATATTTCATCCCATGAATTCTGCATACATGTCCCCAGTACAGCTGATCTGCTCATGCACAGTGACCACTCATCCAAATATCAGGCAACTTCATGAAAGCTACTGCTTTTACTGGGCTCATTAATGCCCAGAAATTGTGAACCTGTGGTCAAATTCCTCTTTTTCAATCCAGGCAAAAATTCCATGCAGCTCAAGGGAGCATACCAGGATGGCTGCCCTGCTTCTTTGTACACACACTAGAGGTTTTGTAGACATAGCAAAGGCAGCTAAATCCATCCACAACTAATCCATATTTGGAATTGATATAACTATCGCCAACAAAACTTTGCTGCATAGGTCTACCTTGAGTTCAGTAATTAATCAGCCATCAAACAAACCAAATGTGAAGGTACCTATGGATACATTCACATTTGCTAAGAATCATTTTTTTCAATGTTACTGTCCTGTAGAGTGGGATCTGGGGGGAAAGAAATAAGAATGATCCAAAACACGTTTTCCTGATGTTTATTTTGGATGGGTGTGACTCAGAGAGTGAGCGCAGGTGATGCAGCTGCTGTCTGTTCAGTCAGCTGTGAAAATAACTATTACTATTTGCTGAAGTTGCAGCAGCGCCTGGCCCTCCCTGTCATGGATTAGCACTCCACTGTGCTGGCTGCTGCACAGAGACCAAACACAGAGATGTTTCTAGCCTGCGGAGCTTCTGCTGCAACTAATAGCAGATAGGTGTATACTACCTCACTCATCTTTTGAGAGTGATTCCCCCCTTCACCAGCTCCCTGACACGTTTGCTGGGGCCCCCATGGAGCCTCACACACTAGATTTTTGGAAAATGCTCTGTGCACACAGAGTGGCCAAATCAATGACTTTCTTTGCAGCCAGTCAGTCTCGGCTGCAAAAAGCCTTTTGAGAGCCTTCACCATGCTGCAGACTGAGCAGGGCACACAGATACAGGCACCTAATTCCTCTTTGCTGGGAGCTGTGGGTGTGAGCAGCACTTCATGGCACTTCCTGAAGAATTTCAAAGGAGAATATAACAAACAGTCCAAGTATTCATACCAAGAGCTTTGTTTCCAGTTTCACTGCAGTAACAATTAGCAGCCAGTTGGCATTTGGCCATTGAAAATTATATAGCCAACTGGCAAAAAGTATCATTTTATTCCTGGCTTTATGCTTGCAAGCTGGGTGGCAAAGGAGTATTTTGTGAGTGTATATAACACTAACCTCTGTAGAATAATGCACTGCCTAACTAGTCAAAAGTCCTTTCTTCACCCAGCCAAAGGCTAATTGCCAACCAGCTTCACTGACCTTCATCATCACTGATCTTTGTTAAACAGTGACATTTGCCAACGTTTAAGTTTTGTCTTCCTTTTTTTTGCCTGTTCCTGTTATGTTGACTTTCTCTCTTTTAAAATTTTTGTTTCATGTACAGGCACAAAACTTGTCCCGGTTTGAGAAGAAGATTGCAGACAGCTACAAACCTCCAGCACCGTGGCACATTTTGACTGCTGAGAAGGATCGCTTTATGATATTCGGTGGGGTGCTCCAGGAGATAGGCACATAACTCACCAGACCTCGCAGCACCCCTGCACTTACTGCTCAGAGCTGAAAAGTGACCTCAGCAGGGTGCTTCCACCCACAGGATCACTATGTCCCCAGAGCAGAAACGGCCTGCAGCAACCTCCTTTTGCAGTTGTACCTGTTTGCCCACATTTCTCTGCTCCCCAAGGCTAAGCTGCCCTGCTAGCAAGCTGTTAGCTTTCCAACCATCGTCCCCCGTTGCTGCTTGAAAGCAGCAAATGGTGGTGTACAACATTATAATTGCAAATATTTCTGCTTTGTTTTCATCTCAACAAAAAGAGGTTTGGAACGAAAGGAGAACAGAGGCTTGCCAATGCATGAAGTTTTATGGGCTTATGTCCCAAAATTATATGATCTAAGTCAGTCAGTTAGGAGCTACATCAGTGCTTTGAATACAACTTCAAAACAAAGGAATTCCCGAATAGACAATAAGGGGTTGCTTTAGAAAATAAATAAGCAATACTAGAACAGATAATATCAAAACTGCTGTAATTAACGTCCCTGTAAAATGAAAAAGTGACAGAAATGAAAACAGCGTGATAGTCATACCTTAGTAGAAATGTATTCATTTATACATTAGTCTAAAACTACAGTCAAAGGTAAAGGACAATTAGATGGTTTGCTAAGTTAAACACTTGAAAGTGAAGAAAGTCAGGTTGCTCATGACCTCACAAATCATTTTTTGAATTTTTCTATTCACTTAATTATAAAGATAATAGTTCAGAATGACTTTTAAGGATCCCTGAGGTAAACTGAATTGTCAGCTCCCCTGCTTTTGTCACGATCTTATTCTTCTTCCCTTTGAATTCCCCACCTCATGTATTCAAGCACGGTGTGAGAACTTCAATTGTCCTTTTTCTGCTTCTACTGATTGCATGTAAAATCTTGAGAGTTGCAACCCAAAAGGAAAAAAATTAAAATATCCTAATTCATTATTTCAGAAAACCTTTTAAACTATAAGATTTTTTTTCGGAGACACAATTTATGCTATTTTGAGACGAGCACCGCCTTAAGCACTAGGAATGTTAGGTACTGAATCCTGTGGACACTATGCAGACACCAGAATAAAAAGGCTAATTTTTCACACTGATTTTCAATGTAGCAAGGATCTCTAACTTCTGTTAACTTAGTAAGCTTATAAATGAAAACTGAGGTAATGTATTCATTTCAAAGGAATACAGGCTCTTGATGTAGCAAGGCACACTAAGACTATATTAATATGAGACTCTTACATCAAGGTAGCTAACTGGAGAGCAGCAACCTTGTAAAAAAACACCTAGTATTTGCAGTGAAGGCATATATAGTAAGGTCAAGATGGGAACTCAGATCCCCTGAGGCACTAGACAAGGCTGCTTACAATCCGTTCAAACTAAAAGACTTGTACTTCTGTCACCAGCCCATGATATAAAGCCTTACAAACTGCCAAGTCAAATCTTTCCAAACAGGCAACAGCTTAAGTTCAGAGGAACAGAAATGATCTTTATTTTAAATGCTTGATAGCTCCAATAACCTCCAAATAACATAGCTTGCATTCTGGGATCACTTTTCTGCAAGTAGGCAAAGTTGCAAACAGTATAAATTAAAAGTGGTAAAAGTATTTACTGGCAACCAAAGTTTTTAGGAGCACAATTTTATATGTCTCTGCATAGCTTCAGCATAAATAGGGTAATATTAATACTACAAGAAGGTCTGTTTACACACTGCTCCAAGAATTTTCTTGCAAAGGAAAAAAACCCTTGCCTTTGCCATTATTCTTTTTGATCACAAATCCTGCTCAGCTTAAAAAATTAAAGTCTCTTTTTATGTTTATATGATTCTAATCCTGTGATGAGGGAAGGAAGAGATAATTACTTAGAACATTTGACAAAGCCGTTTATTATGATAAGTAATTCATTATTTTTTGTCTATAAAGCACGTCCTACCTGAGCTTACTACACTGTGGAGGAACATCACTTACCATATGTTACTCTGCTCAAGTAGCAGTCAAAGTTATAGTTTCTCTGTCAGTAGACAAAGGGTGAGAATCTTTCCTTTTTGGACAAAGCGTCTTGCAGTTCTCCCTGACTAACTAAAAACAATCCATACTGCCACAAAAGAAGCTGTGAAACACAATGAAGCCACTTCTTTGGGTTTCCAGAAGTCCCAGTTCCTACATTTGTAACGGGAAGTGTTGTGTATGCATGTATATTTCTGTACAAGCCATTCCATGTGCAACGCCCATCCATCCGGTATCCCTTGTTCTACCTGGGGCTTGGCTAGGGTACTCCATTTCTTGCATCTTTACCCCAGCATCCTGTTTCCTGCTTTTTTTTCCCCAGCCACTGCTGTGACCTGACAGAGAGCATAGTATTCGCTCTTCCTCATGGTTGCAATTGGGCAGTTGCCACCTCTCATCGAATCTAACGTTTTGGCTTCTGCAGCTAAGGCAGTTTCCACTTCCATCTTTTGGAGAGACCTGAGTTCAAAATAATAGGAAAACAGGCAAAGTCATCTGCAAAACCTTTAGTGAGAGCTCTCTTTTCTACTCAGGATCAGTATACAAAATGTATAACAAAGCAATGCTGCCTCATCAGGAAATACATTTCTCTTCCCTCTGCTTCACCATACATTTGGAAGTTGATAGGATGGAAAAAGAAAATGTAGTGCTTCTTCCCAATAAGTGTGTTATTATAGCTTCCCATGACTACCCAATCTCACCACACAGGGCTCTGTACTTAGATGCAAAATAAAAGTGGTTTGTTATTGCAAAGTGCTGAGACTGCACTTTTCTCACTGATGTATGTAAGCAAAATTATTGCAGAGCTAAGAATTGCACGCAGGCCTGTTACACTGATTGCTCCCAATTATTCTCCCTGCTCATTTCACTAATACTACGAAAAATAAGTCTTTCTTCAGCATACACAACTCTGCAACCTGAAAGTAAAATTGCCAAGTTAGAGAAATGAGTGGAGAGAAAGTTGTCAGCACAAATAAAAGGTAAAAAAGCTAAGAAGTTGGAACAGACCGTAAGAGGGAGAAGAGAGAAAGGAGAACTGAGGACAAGAAGAAAAAAATGGTATGAATGTGGAAAGGAAGAACAGAGGCTTATGCACCTGGAAAATCTGGAGTGAAGAGGATACAATATCAATGCAAACCTTTGGCTGAGATGCCTGAGAAACTCTCTGGAGGAAATGTCTTTGAGGTCAACCCTGCTTGGTGTTCATACAGTTTTTAGAACGAGGTTATACAGCTTCAGCTACGCTTTAGTATTGCCCTTGTGCAGACAGGTATGGAGAAGGAAAATATGAGAAGCTAGGAACGTATTGTCAGAATTGTTCAGTGAGGAGGTCCCAACTAGCCCCAAATCTACCACTCCTTGTCCTCATTGACTGATGGTGAGGCAGGGAAGAAAAGAAAATGGCCTCTACACTTCATTGTCTTCCAGAGTCTCTGTGTTTATCATATAAGACCAAAGGTAGAAACTTTAGTTAAGTAGCTAAAAAAATTTAGCAGGCTGGAAGCTTGTCAGCTATGCTGCTTATTGGAGGAAACAAGTTTTGAAAATGGTTGAGGTTCCCGAGGAGCTCAGGAGTAATTCAGATTGTAGATGAAAGGCTGATGTAGGTGAAAAGCGTATCACAGAATCACAGAATCACAGAATCGTTTAGGTTGGAAGGGACCTCTGGAGGTCATCTAGTCCAACCTCCCTGCTCAAGCAGGGTCACCTAGAGCATATTGCCCAGGATCACATCCAGACGGGTTTTGAATATCTCCAGCGAAGGAGACTCCACTACCTCTCTGGGCAACCTGTTCCAGTGCTCAGTCATCCTCACAGTGAAGAAGTTTTTTCTCAGGTTTAGGTGGAACTTCCTGTGGTTCAGTTTGTGCCCATTGCCTCTTGTCCTGTCGCTGGGCACCACGGAGAAGAGACTGACCTCATCCTCTTGACACTCCCCCTTCAGATACTTGTACACGTTGATGAGATCCCCTCTCAATCTTCTCTTCTCCAGGCTGAACAGGCCCAGCTCTTGCAGTCTTTCTTCCTAGGAGAGGTGCTCCAGCCCTCTAATCATCTTGGTAGCCCTCCGCTGGACTCTCTCCATGAGTGCCATGTCTCTCTTGTCCTGGGGAGCCCAGAACTGGACACAGTACTCCAGGACCCAGTGCTCCGGGTGAGGCCCCCCCAGGGCTGAGGAGAGGTGCAGGATCCCTCGTCCTGCTGGCAACACTCTGCCTAATGCACCCCAGGATCCCATTGGCCTTCTTGGCCACAAGGGCACATTGCTGGCTCATGGTCAACTTGTTGTCCACCAGCACTCCCAAGTCCTTCTCGGCAGAGCTGCTTTCCAGCAGGTCAGCCCCCAGCCTGTCCTGGTGCATGGGGTTATTCCTCCCCAGGTGCAGGACCCTGCCCTTGCCTTTGTGGAACTTCAGGAGGTTCCTCTCTGCAAATCTCTCCAGCCTGTCCAGGTCCCTCTGAATGGCAGCACAGTCTTCTGGTGTGTCAGCCACTCCCCCCAGTTTAGTATCATCAGCAAACTTGCTGAGGGTGCACTCTGTCCCTTCCTCCAGGTCATTGATGAATATATTGAACAAGACTGGACCCAGTATTGACCCCTGGGGGACACCACTAGCCACAGGCCTCCAACTTGACTCTGCACCATTCACCACAACCCTCCTCCTCTGCATCAAGGACAAGAAAAGGGATGTTCAATCATCCTGAGTACAAGGCCAGCTCTTGCCACCCTCTGGCTGATGGAGAAAGGGCATTGGCTTCTGTCTCCCGTGTGCCGATGTCCCAGATGTCTGGGAGGCTGGGTGGTAGGGAACTGTAGACTCTGAATTACAGCATAAAGAAAAGGCTTAAGCTTAAGGAGCTTTACAGGTGAAAGCAAAAGCAAAGCTCAGGTATTTTGGTTCTAGAAATGGTACTGTGCCTCTGTTTCTTTGATATAACATCTCTTTAATTTGCCTTAGTTTTGAGGGGGATAGTTATGAGATTGA